TATACCTTCATTTTTTTTTTAAGATTTTATTTAATTTTTTCGAGACAAGATTTCTCTGTATTGTTTTGGAGGCTGTCCTGGAACTTGCTCTGTAGACTAGACTGGCCTTGAACTCACAGAGATCAGCCTGCCTCTGCCTCCCGAGTGCTGGGATCAAAGGCATGTGCCACCAACACCCAGCAAGATTTTATTTAATTTTATTTAGTGTGCGTTGGTGTTTTGTCTGCATTCATGTCTGTCTGGGGGACACTGGATCTGTAGCTACAGACAGTTGTGAGCTGCCACGTGGGAGTTGAACCCAGGTCCTCTGGAAGAAGAGTCAGTGCTCTTAACCCTGAGCTATCTCTCCAGCCCCTCATGCTGAACTTTCCACACTGAATGTGTAAGGTCATTTTAACCAGTGAGGGGTTTACCACTTTACTGCCAGTACCCACAGCTACCGATGAGCTAACTGAGCTTCAGAAAGGTTGGGTAATTTTCCCAAGGTCCCACAGCTAGTAAGTGGACTTTAGATCCAGGCAGTCTTTCCCTGGGGGCTTGACTTTTCGGGCTCTTAGGAGTGTGTGTGATGGTATTCTCACTCGTCTGGCAGCTCTGAGGCAAAGCAGACCCATGAGAAGGCCCTGTATACTTACCACCGGTCTCTTCCACAGGAAGGCAGGGAATGGCTGCCATACACAGTACTGTCACGTGGTTCAGGGCTTGAGTGCGAGGTCATTTGTGTCAGGGGAAGAGCAAGCTTGCCAGGGATTGTTGAAGGTAGAGACCCTGGGAAGGAACGATCTCCTTCCTTGGCATCTCCTAGCTCCAGCCGGGCCCTAGGCAACCGCACCCAGATGCAGATGGTGTTCTGGTTAGTTTTTTGTCAAGTTGACACAAGCTAGGGTCATCTGGGAAGAGGCAATCTTAGCTGAGAAAACGTTTCCATCAGACGGGTCTGTGGGGCACATTCTGGACCAATGGGAGAGGGCCCGGCCTACTCTGTGCAGTGCCTACTCTGTGCAGTGCCTACTCTGTGCAGTGCCGTTTTAGGGCGGGTGGGCCTGGGTTCTGAAAGAAAGCAGGCTGAGCAAGCCACAAGTCAGTAAGCAGCTCCCCTCCACGGCCTCCGCATCAGGTTCCTGTCCTGAGTTCCGGCCCTGGCTTCCTTCAGTGGTGGACTGTGATCGGGAAGTGTGAGCCAGATAAACCCTTTTTTCCCATATTGCTTTAGGTCATGGTGTTTCATCACAGCAACAGAAACCGAAGGAAGGCAGCCAGTCTCAATAGAAGGGGCTGAGACCACCCTAAAAGTCCGCTAAGCCCCTCTTTGGGCAAACCTACCCCAGCACTCAGAGGACAAGGCCCCACTCCATGGCCACATCCTATTTCTAGTCTGAACTGACAGGAGAATGGGACTCCTTACTGACCCTAGTACAGAATTCAGGCCTGGCCTTCCCAGGTCTGAGACCTCCAGACCACTTCTGCATCGATGGCGAGGGGTGAGTAGGGGAGTCGGTGGGGGAGAGGACACACCTCAGATCCCGTGTTTGAGTCTTGTACCATGTCACCTTTTAGGAAGGGTTTGAAGTCTCTGCACAAGCTGCACAAGGTGTCTGTTCATTCATTTTCTGTGCCAGCAGACACCGAGCGGCTGCAGGCTGGAAGCCGAGCCCGCCGTTCACTTTCAACTCAGCTTAGTGCTGATTCAAGAGCAATGTCCAGACAACTCTGTGGGAGGCTGAAAGGGGCTCTCCCAGTATTCACCTCAGCAACTGAAGCCCCTGCTGCCTCTCCTGCCCCTGTGCAAAGCACTGTGCAAAAAAGTGCCCTTGTCGGGGGTTTGCGAGAGAGGTCACTGGTTAAGAGACGTTGGTGCTCTTCCAGAGGACTGGGGTTCAATTCCCAGCACCTCCATGGTGTCTCACAACCATCTGTAACTTCAGTCCCTGAGGATCTGACGCCCTCTCCTGGCCTTTATGGTTACTGCATCACATACATACAGACAAAATACCTATATACATAAATAAATAAAAATCATAGTGCCACTGTTGTCATCATTTCATCACCTGAAGAAAATAGTACAGCATGATGGGTTAAACATGTGGGCTTTGTAGCTGGGCCTGGAGCCCAAGCTGTGGCTCCACCACCTACCGGAACCGTGTGACCTGGGGTCCAAGCTGCGGAGTGCCCCTGTGCTCCAGTTTCCATGCAGGTGGGAACGGGCTAACGTGTCCTACAGAAGCACTGAGAGGACTCACAGGGTCTACTCAACGGTGTCTCTACCGTGGTGTTCACAGAAAAGAACATGGCGAGGGCATGCTTACCCTGCTTACCCAGCTGCCTGGTGGAAGTCATCTTCAATCTCTAAGGCTTTTGACACAGGGTCTAGTGTGTTGGATTATCTTCCACAATCCAGGCTGGTCATCTCGTCTCCCAACACCTCCGCCTGTCCTGGATGGTTGTCCTATGGAGGAGTATGTTTTGTGAGCTTCCCACCACTGTGAGGAGGGCAAACCCCTGTCACTGAGCTGAGGTATAACCAACTGCATGCATCAGTTAAAAACAAAGTTAACACGTGTGTGCTGTTGCTGTGTGTACATACTTGCAAATGTGTGCGGGTGAGCATAGACTGGAGAACCTCGGGTAGTCGTCCTCCTTTGAGCCGAAGTCTCTCATTGGCTTGAGCTCACTGACTAGTGTAGACTGGCTGGCCAGCAGGCTCTAGTCTCCACCTCCCCAGCACAGGGACTGCAAGTGTGTGCCACTCTGCCTGGCTTTTTCTATGAGTTCTAGGGAGTGGACTCAGGTCCTCATGTAGACACTTTACTAAATGACCCATCGCCCCTGACCCCCAACCCAGCCTATGAACCCATCATCAATCACAAAGATGAAAAACATTTCCAACCCTCTGTGATTTTCCCATGCTCCTTTGAAATTCCTCTTTTCCTCCAATTTTATCTCCAAGCTACAGAGGAGGAAATCAAGGTACCACTGGAGAGGTCAGATAACCTACTCAAAGGTCACCTCCCCCAGGCTAGCTATCTCCCAGTCCCTGGGCTAGCTGGTCATCTGGGAAAGTGGGTGCCTGGAGCCGTGTGTAAAGAAGCTTGGGAGGTTCTCCCTCATCCAGCACCACCCTGTCCAGGGCCAAGAGAGGCAGCAGCACCGCTCAGCACATGTGGGGCTGCGGGCAGACATGGAGACCAAGGAAGTGGATGGGGCCAAGGTGCCCTAAGGGCGGGAGGCAGTGCAGTGAGCCTGCTGCTCTTGTGGGGTGCTGGGCCAGCAAGCAGGAGTGTGACTGTGTCACTGTGACAGTGTGACTGCTGAAGGCAGGGACACAGCAGCTCCCTGAGCTGGGGGTGGAAGGTGTTAACTCTGAGTGTGCTGGTGTGGGTGGGTGGCCGGCCTCCGGGCCTGGAACTGGGGGGCACAGGGAGGTGGGAAACACCCTGGTGACAGCAGCATCTTGGCGGCAGCCTTGTGGGGATGCTGTAGGGCGGTGGGGGTTTGTGTGACTCTTACAGTTCAACAAATTCAAATTCAGCTCATGCTGGCAACAAGCAAGGAGAGGCAGACCCGGCTTGTGGCTGAAGGGTTCCCCCGTGGGTTTAAGAGCTTTAGCCTTGGGGCTGGCATGTGGCTGGATGCTTTCTGATCATTGCGACATTTGATCCACCCCATACCCGGTCCCCCACTTAAAGAATGTATGGTCAAGCACAAAAGGTAAGTGACTTGCCCAAGGTGACCCAGCTACTCAATCAGACAGGAACTGAATCTAAGCTGCCAGACTGCAGAGTCCCAGTCCTCCACCATCATGCCTTTGCCAGGCAGCAGATGTCTGGTTCTGGGGTTCAGGGACTACACTCCTGGTCTTGGTTCTGGCCCTGCAGACATACCCCTAAACATAGGTCACTGTGCCAAGGGGTGGGGCCATGGTTTGCTTCCAGTACTTGCCAAGGGGCTAGACTCACCACCAGAGGGGCTGCCTGGCTCTGAGACCCTTTAAGCTGCAGCCCTTGTCTCAGGCCCTCCCTTGGTTCCTGCCCCCTCCCGGCACTGACTCGGGGCCAGGGGAGGAAAGGCTGTCTCCACCCACCTCTTGCACTCTCCCTTCTCCTTTATAAAGGCCGGAACAGCTGAAGGGTGGCAACTTCTCCTGCAGCCGGGAGCAGCCTGCCTGCCTCCCCCGCTGCCTCCCTGAGGGCTCCCCTCCGGCCGCCAGCGCCCATCTTTCTTTCTCCAGAGAGATATTTTGCACACACACACATACACACACGCGCAAAAGGGAAAGGAGGGGGGAAAGCCCACCCCCCAGCCTCGTTGCAAGGAGTAAGCCGGAGCAGCCGCAGCTCGGAACCCGCAGAGGACACCCAGAGCAGCGAGCGGGTGGGCGGATCGGCCGACTGACCCGCGCCGCGTCCACCTGTCGGCCCGGGCCGGCCCAGCGCGCAGTGGGCGCGCCGCGCGCTCGGAGCAGTCGTGCCCGTCGCTCAGGCCCCACGCCAGGGCGCACACGCTCCCGCCCCACCACCCGGCCCGGGCGGGAGTTTGCACCTCTCCCTGCCCGGGTGCTTGGGCCGCCGCTACAAAGCCAACTTTGGAAAAAAGTTTTTTTGGGAAGACTTGGACTAGGAGGTGCTCAGTCCTGCGTTTTCTGATCTGGGGAGCCTTTCCAAAAAATGTTGCAAAAAAGCTAAGCCAGCGGGCAGAGGAACAAGCCTTTAGCGGACGAGTAAAGACGAACCATCAACTGCCGTGTTCCTTTTCCTCTCGGAGGTTGGAGTCCCCTGCGCGCCCCCACACGGCTAGACGCCTTGGCTGGTTCGCGACGCAGACCCCCGGCCGTGGATGCTCGCGTGGGCTCGGGATCCGCCCAGGTAGCGGCCTCGGACCCTGGTCCCGTGTCCAGGTCCTCCCCAGCCCCCCAGCGACGGAGCCGGGGCCGGGGGCGGCGGCGCCCGGGGGCCATGCGGGTGAGCCGCGGCGGCGGCTGCAGCGGCCTGAGCGCCTGATCGCGGCGGACCGGAGCGGAGCCCACCCTCCTCCCCAGCCCCCCACCCTGGCCGCGGGGGCGGCGCGCTCCGTCTACGCGTCCGGGGCCCCGCGGGGCCGGGCCCGGAGTCGGCATGAATCGTTGCTGGGCGCTCTTCCTGCCTCTCTGCTGCTACCTGCGTCTGGTCAGCGCTGAGGTGAGTTGCGACGGCGACCGGGGCTGGATTCTTCCCTCGCCGCCCCAACCCCCATGCCTGGCCGCCCCCTCTTCTCCCTGCAGTGAACTTTGGAACCCTGCAGCGCGTGAGCCAGGTGCTGGGCACTGGGTGGCCCCAAGGGCTGGGAGGCCAGGTCAGAGGTTCTGGGCTGTATGAGGGGACAGCGGTGGGTTTCTCTTTCCAGTGGATCAACCTAGATGCCTGAACATTTTAGCGTCCTGGAAAGGTGTGTATTGCCCTGCCCTCTTAAGCCCCTTCCCGGCCAGGGGAGAAGGAATGAGGTGGTATCTAGGGTGCCTAAGGCCATCGCGACCTCCTGAGTCCACCTTGGAATCAGTCTGGGCTTTGGTTCTGCCCAGGACTCGGACTGCCCTAGTGGTGTGCGCCCTCGAACTCAGGATATCCACAGAGACCTTTGGCGAGGGTTCTGGTCCCACCCAAGCTTCTGCTCTGGGCTGGGCACCTCGGGGTCGCGCTGGACGGTCCAAAAGCACCTTGTATCTTGGCGCAGGGGGCCCAGAGAGGCACAGAGACACTGGAGAGACAGGCAGACAGACACGGTAGGTTCAGATTCTTGGAGTAGAGACAAGACTAGGGCGGGGGTTGGGGGGAGTTCTGATGGAATCCAGCCCCAGGGGCGGTGTGTGTCTGAGGCCGGGCCATACCTGCGCCTGCGCCCGCGCCCTGCGAGAGGAAGCACCTCTCTCCCCCGCATGCAGGCTGCGGAGCGCGCGCCTGCAGAAGCCTAGCTGCAAGGGAGGTGGGGTATGGAAACGTCTGCGGGAGCGATCAGGTCGGATCCGTGCCCCTACTCCTCCCAGCCTCACGTAGCAGTGAGTTGGCAAGTCTACCAGGAATCCAGGTGGGAAGGGGGCGGGGCAGGAGGAGGCACGAGCTGGAGCCAGGACCGGGAGAGCGGCGAGTCTGGGTCCCGTCCCGCCTCCGCCCGCTGGGGTCCAGAGCCTGCGCCTAGTCGGCAGCGGGCAAGACCAGCCCGGCCGCCCGCAGCCAAGAGCAGGGGAGAGGCGGCGGCGGCAGGGAATGGGTTAAGGCAGGGGGTTCCTAGGCCGCGGACCGACCTTGGGCCGCCGCCAGAGCAGGTTGTTTTGACCACGGAGGAGCAGTCGCCGTCTCCTTTTGTTCTTGGGGCTCCTCGAGGGCCGCCGGCCGCCCGCCCTGGGGGCCTCGCCCTTCCGTGGCTGTCCCCCGCGGCTGGAGCCCGAAAGAGAGCAAGCTGGGCATGGCCCAGCCGCTGCAGGTCCCTCGCGACGGCCCCTCCCCGCCTCGCCTGCAGCCCCCTGGGGCGCGGCCAGCTGTTGGGGGGGGGACGCTGGAAGGCCCCAGATGCCGCCTTGCCGCGCCGCGGGGACCTGGGGGCTGGCCCGGTGCCAGGGCGTCCTGAGAACTGCGGCGCCCCGCGGCTGCTCTCTGCAGCCCACCCCGCCCGGCCCCCGACTTGCTCACTCACCCCACGCATGCACACTCCTGGCCGGAGGCGATGCTGCGCTCCCGCGGGTGGGCGCGCAGAACGGCGGGCACGCACTAAGGCGGCCAGGTCGCGCGCCCGCCGCCACGCCCGAGCACACGCGGGACACACGCGCGCGCAGCCCGAATACACGTGCGCTCACACACCCACGCACGCACGCACGCACAGCCCCTCTGTACACTCAGTGCCAGGTGTCCGCCCCCACGCAACAGGTGGGCTCCGCAGTGGGCCCTGGCACCTCACCGCCTCTGTAGTCACCCATTTCCTTCCTGGGGGGGGTATCTAAGGAGGAAGGGACAACCCCAGATCCTGATGTGGACTCCACAGCATCCATTTTTTGGCCTGTTTAGAGCAGCTTGGCACCCCTCAAACCTTACCTCCTCTATAACGGTTTTTCAACCACCCCTACAGTGGCCGGTGGTGATGTTAGTGACCCCGGAGTGCTCGGATAGCCAGGCATTTTCCATTTGAAATAAGGTTCCATTTGACCTCCAAGACATTAAGGACCTGCTTACCTGATGAGTGTGTCTCCTACCCCCTCCCTATTTGGCTAATCCTGTCAGGGGTGTGACACCCTGCGATCCGTTGGGCTCTGCCGGCTTTGTAACATCTGGGTGAGGTTTCCCAAGCTTTCTCTTACCATCCCGGCTTCCTCCAACAGCACCCCACATACCCACGAATATTCCCTTTGGGTCTGAGGCTGCAGCTCAGACACTCATTCTTGCTCTGATTGCACTGTGGTTTGCAGTTGACTTTCCTTATAAGCATGAGGAGTACCAGACTGAGATCATGAGGACCTGTCCCCACGGGGACCAGTCCAGGCAAGCTCCTAATCACCGGTGCAGGGAGACACAAGGAGGAGCTTGCTTCTGGAGGTGACCCTGAAGTTGGCTGTGTTTAGATGGAGGCCTAGGGGTTGGAAGCAGGCTGGCAGTGTTGAGGCAGGGTTGGATGGGAGTCTGAAAAGGCTGTGGAGGCCCCCATCTCCATCAGCTGAGCTGACTTCCCAGAAGGTGACTGTCATGAGACAATCTGTCTGCCTCAGCACCCTTCTGCCGGGAAGGAGTGGAGGGGCCCATAGTCACCAACCACCCAGTCTCCTTCTGGCTTGCTAATGGCCACAGGGGGTGGGGAAACCTGATTGCTGGAATCCCCCTGCCCGGAAGTGTGAAAGTCAAGGTCAGATAGATTCTGGAGGTCTTAGTGCAAGAGCCAGGAAGTGCGGGTGTAGAGGAATTAATTCAAGCGGTTCGCTTTGGGTTCGAGATGCCCTCCTTCTTTTTGATGTTTTTTTTTTTTCTGTAATAATATTTTCTTCCCAATTTTTTATCTGGGATAGGGTCTCACAAAGTTCAGGCTGCCCTCCAACTCACTATGTGTGCACGTGGGGATGGCCTTGAGCCCTTGATGGTCCTACCTCCTCTTAAGAGTTACAGGTGTGCACTATCATGCCCGACTATGACAACTTTTGAAGGTTTGATTCATTTAGTTGTCTGTTACCTGCTTTCTCCCATGAATTGCAAACTACACTGGAGAGATTTTTTTGTCTTGACTCCCACTGTGTTAGTGGGATGCTAGCTAGTAGCCTGGACATCACCAAACGAGTGTGGGAAGAACTATGAATGGTGGGTTGGGCCAGGCCAGGGTGCTGTATTAACACAGCCATCATGAACCCTGGCCCCTGAGGGCAGCCACCCATGGCACAGTGCACTGTGGGCTTGTAAGCCTGCCGCTCCTCCATGGTGAGATGCTGGAATCCACTCTTCCCTGTCTTCAGTCTGCAGGGTCAGCGGGGATGAAGGAGGTGGAAAGTCACCGAAGGAGAAGCAGGCTGGGCCTCAGTTTCTCCTACCTAAATATGGAGCAGGGTGCACTCATTCAGTGTTATGATAGGGGAGTTGGCTCCTCTTGAGGTGGGAGCAGATTGCTGTGGGCCATCAGGGTGGCCCATCCAGGAGGCGGCCCTTTCTTCCAGCTTTGAGATTTCTTTTCCTCTTGCTCTAGCAGAGGTAGAGGAGGCTGGTGGGCTGGCCTCAGTTGCAGAAACGGGGAGGCTGAGGGAGACCCAGGAGCCAGGAAGGGAACCACTGTCTAGAAAAGCTGGCTCCAAAAGGCTTCTGTGTTGTGCCCAGAAAGGGCTCCTTCAAAGAGCTCATCTTTGCCATCTCTTCTAAATACGGCCTGAGACGCAAGCAGGCCTTAGGAGGCCTCCTCAGCTTCTGCCTTTGCCAGCCACAGACAACGCCCTGGGTGCTGGGTGGAGAGCCTGTCTCCCTCATTGCAGTGGCAGCAGGCTGTGGAGTGTGTGTGTGTGTGTGTGTGTGTGTGTGTGTGTGTGTGTGCGTGTGCGTGCTGCGCTGAGGCCCAGGTGGAGGGTGGGGTGCAAGCCTTTTTGATCTGCCAGCCTGGCTGGGAGCAGGTAACTCACCTGGCCTCACGCTTGCTCGTGCCTCCTGCAGCTGGCTTTGGGGGGCGGGGCAGGGAGGAGGCTGTTTCTCTTGGCTGCCAGGCTGGCTTGGCCCCAACTGCTTCCAAGCCACACCCTTGTCCTACCAGGAGCTCCAGGACTGAGATCTGGGGCAGCGTCTTCAAGCTCTCAGGTGACCTTTCCTGTGTATGGGGGTAATCTGGGGGTACATACCTGGAGGCTTCTAGAACCTGTGGCAGAAAATTCAGGCTTCAGCAACTCCATATTGAGAGTGGGTTACACACAGACACATGGACTCTCACTGCAAACATGTTCTCTTGAGACTCCCCAGAGCACAGCACCCTGGAGTGGACGCCCAGGCTAAGTGTTCACACCCCCAGGCCCGGAAGAGACCCACCAGCCCACAGGGCACCTGGAGTATCAGTGTGGGACTAGGTGCCGTTTCCTGTGGTCCAGCATGGGGGATTGTGTAAAGCCACACTCCATTGTCCCAGGGGAGGGCAGCTCTCCACCCACCTGTCATCATCCTTGAAGTATTGTGAGCGCCTGGCCCAGGACATTAGTGTCATGCTGCCCTCAAGGAGCTGTGTGGAAGAATTGGTGATGATAGCAAAAACAGCTAGTTAAATGCTCTTTATTCGGGGCGGCTCTGCTCTGTACAGTTACACTTACCAGGAGCCTCGGAACCAGCTGTGGTTAACCCCATGTAAGGGAGGAAGGCACCACATGTTTCTTTGTCAGTGGCGCTGGAACTGAACCCAGAACCTCACCAGTGCTGGGCAATTGTTCTGCCGCTAAGCCGCACACTTGAGTCCTTCCTTGGTTTTTGTTTTGTGACAGGGTGTTACTTAGTATCCCAGGCTGGCCTCGTGGCTGCAGATTAATTTCTCTAAGCCTCAGTTTTCCCATCTGTAAGATGGCGCTAATGAGAGTTGGTGTCAGGATTGTATTTAGTGCAGCATTTTGTTCAGTTGGTGCCTGGCATGAAGGATCGCCCCCGAGAGAACAGACCCCAAGGAGAAAGACACATCCCTTCACGTACCTCCCGGTATTTACTGAGCACCAGCCGAATGCTTTTCCCACCTCCACGGTTTCCATCTGTGGTTTCCCCCTACTCGGCCTCAGGGGTGAGTTTGTCTCCTTACAGTGGTCTCCTTGGCTTGGTGGACCGGGGCCTGAGGTGTCCACTAGGTCTGTTCAGGGCTCAGGTTGCTTCGCCTCACGGCAGCTCCAGTCGTTGAGGACAAGGAGATCCTGGCAGATGCCTCCCCCAGGGCACTCCTCATTCCCTCAGGCAAGCAAGCTGCCTTACACATCCCCTGCTCCTTCTGTCACCCCCAGGCAGCATCAGAATGCAATCAAATATTTTCTGACATCCTCAGTTCAAAGATAAGAGCCAAGACCAGAGAGAGGCAGTGGCCAGGCAGGTTTATAAACTCCATGATTGAACAAATTGACCGGGATGCTGAATGGGGTTCCAGGAACCAGATTTCACAGACTTCAAGGTGTTATGCCCCCTCAGCTCCTAGCCTTTATCTTCGAGTTCCTAGGTTGACATGGGGGAACAGAGGTGGATATAACTGAGTCCCTAAGGAGTTTTTCCTAAATATTACCACAAGTGTCAAGGACCACAAAGTTGGTTTGTTTGTTTTTGTGAGACTGGGTCTCTCTATGTTGCCCAGGCTAGCCTGGGACTCCTGGGCTCAAAAGATCCTCTTTCTAGGCATGGTGGCTCATATCTTTAATCTTAGCATTTAGTAGAGGCAGGTAAGTAGTTGAGTTCAAGGCTGTCTTGATCTATGTGGCAAGTTCCAGACCAGCCAGGGCAACAACATAAGACCATGTCCCAAAAAAGCAAAACCCAGAGCTGTTGTTACACAAACCCTGTCTTGAAAAACCAAAAAAAAAAAAAGTAATTAATTAAATTAATAAAATACAATGAAAACCCTCAAAAGCAAAACCAAACTGTCTTGGATTCTCGGTTGTGTGATAAAACACTATGGCCAAAAGCAGCTTGGGAGGACAGATTCTGTGTGGCTCACAACTCCTCAGCACTGTCCGACGCTGAGGGGAGGAAGTAGGAACTGAAGGAAGTAGACGCCATGGTGGGTCTTGTTTGCTGGCTTGCCCCTCATGGTTTGACAGCCTGCTTTCTTATAGTCCTCATGTCCACCAGCCCAGGGGTGGCATCACCCACAGCGATCTGGGCTGCCTTATATCAGTCAATCAACCAACCAATCAAGAAAATATACCCCAGGCTTGCCCACAGGCCAGTCTGATGGGAGCGTATGGTCATTTGAGGTTCCCTCTTTACCATTGAATCTGGCTTGTGTCAGGCTGACAAAAACCAGCAAGTACACAAAAAAGAGGTCTTACCTCAGCCTCCAGGGTAGCTTGGGACTATAGGTGGGCACCTGGACATCATGCACCTGGCTCTTGATAAGTGTCTGAGACGAATAGCTTTGAGGAAACTGCGCCCCCACACCCAGGGGCAGGGGTAAGAACTTCTTTTCCACCTAAGACAGTGAGAGCAGCACCCCACCCCAAATGCACACACACCTGTGCTTAGTTACTCAAAGTTCCAGTCCCAGGGCGGTTCTGTGAGCACAGGGCGGGGCTTCTTCACTTCTCAGTCCAGGGAAACTGAGGCACAGAGTGGCTTAGTCTTCTCAGAGTTCTCTCAGACTGCATGACCTTGTCACAAGCCTGCCTGTGTGTGCACACTGTCACGTGTGTGCGCACCATGGTCCCAGACCTGAGACATGCCCTGGCCTCTTGTGTCTTTCCTTTGTCCCTAATTGTTAGGACCAGGCTCTTGAGACTCCTGGGGCTATGGGGATGCAGCAGGGGCTTTCTTCTCCAGCTGTATGAATGTGATTGTGGGACCTGCGGTTTCCCTGGAGGAAGCTGGCTTGTAGTGAGGCCTGTTAAGGTTCTAACTAAGTTTCAAGTGTTTGGTGACAGGCCAGAGGGGCTCTAAAAATAGAGTTTGGTCGGGCATGGGGCATGCATGGGTAAGCTTTCAGGGTTCCCGGTTGGGCCTGAGGATTCCCTTACTTCCTCTTTGGCAGGGACTAAGTCGGCAGCACTGGGACACACAGCCTTCTGAGGTCACAAAACTCAGCAAGTGTTATGCATAATTAAGCCCCTCTTGGGCTGGGGGGGCGGCGGCACTGTCATTGGCTGAGTGAAGAAGCCTCTATTCACACCCGGCTTGTGGGCCCTGCACAAGCGGTGTGTGTGTGTGTGCGCGCGCGCGCGCCCATTTTAGTTAGCTACCAGGTGCAGAGGGAAAGTATCAAGAAATGAGATTGTTGGAGTTTCTCCCGGATCTGTGATCGGATGCGGGGGACAGATATAGACGAGCCGGTGGAGCTGGGGGCAAGTGTGGATTCTGTGGAGGGCTGGGGTGGGGCATCTCAGCCTGGATTTACCTCGTCAAGTCTTTGGGCCTTTCTGCTTCTGGTTCATCCTTGGATTCCACCTACTCCAGTCTGTCTATTTATTGGAGATGGGGCAGGGGGGTGCCTGGGGGCCTTGTAAGAACTTTGTGCCAGAGAAAGAATGTGGTTGGCAAGACAGCCATGCCTGCCTGGTGAGCCTTCGCCCCAGTTTACTCAATTCCGGGTATCTGCCCAACAGGGGGACCCCATTCCAGAGGAACTCTATGAAATGCTCAGTGACCACTCCATCCGCTCCTTTGATGACCTTCAGCGTCTGCTGCATGGAGACTCCGTAGGTAAATCGGGTCCTCCTCCAGAACCTCAGCCTCCATTGGTGCTTGGAAGGGGTGGGGGTGCAGGCAGGGACACCCCTCTTGACATAAGGGAACTGGATCTACCGCACAACCCAGTGACGGCATGACTGCACCCACCCAGGGCAAGGCAGGGCAGAGTAGGAAGACGGGCCGGTACCTGGGGCATGGGGTGTGGCAGAAGCAGCACCCACGTGTGACTCTGGCTTGGTGCAGAGGGTGGGGTTCCTGGAGCAGGGCGGGCAGAGAGAAAGCACTCAGGGCATGCATGTACCTACCCAGGTGTGGACCCAGCTGAAGAGGGTAGGGCTAGAGAAGCCATCTCTCTGCCCCTCTGGCCCAGGGCCTGGCTGGCAAGGTCTCCTGGGGACACCTGGCCAGGACCAGCTGACAGCCCTGCCTGTGCCCAAGAGTGCACTGGGCAAATGGGCACGTGCTTGGTGGCACACACGTGGCAGGGCCGGCGGGTTGGGCTGGGAATGTATTTATAAATGCTGTCTTCAGAGCAAATTCCATTCTATTCTAACCTCTGGCCTGGTCCCTGGAGCCCTGTTCCGCAGCCCCCCCACCCCCACCCCACACACCCGCAGGCCCTTGTCCCTCTGGGGTCCTGTCTCTTTGTCACTTTGTAATTCTTGCCCAGACGCTATCTACGGGGGAACAGCATTTCCTGCCTTTGTTTCCTCTCTCCGTTGGGCCCCTGGCTCCTTCTCAAAAGCATTCCCGGGCCCTTTCAATACTGCCTGGGCTGGGGGGGTGGCAAGGCAGGCAGGAGGGGGCCCCAGCTGGGCCCACCTATTGTTCACCATGGGCCCCCACCCGATGTCTCCCACCCGTGCCCGGCTGGCCAACCCTGGCCACACAATGGGGCAACTTCCAAATTTAGCCTTCTTGCTGTTTCTTTCCAAGGCGCTCTGCCGCCCAGCTCAGGCAGCCCCTCCACACCCCTGGTGGGGGTCGGATCTTGGATGTGAGATTTTCAATAGCAGGCCTGTTTCGAGGCAACCATGTGGCTATTTTTTCCTAATCAACTTAGCTTTTCCACAAAGCACATCTCTCCCCGTCTCCTCCCCACCAGGGACATTCCAGAGATGGCAGAGAGAAAGGAAGAGAATAAGGGACAGACAGACAGGCTGATGTGGTCAACACTGTTGGGCTGGACAAAGCAGACTAGTTAATGAGTCAGTGGCGAGCTTCAGGATCACCAGGATCCCAGATGGGGCAGCAGCTGGCAGAAGCCTTTGCCCTTGATGGGACCAGGGGTCTGGGGAAGATACATGAGCCCGACGTGCTGTAAGGAGGTGGGTGACACGGGCTCATCTCCAGCGTCCCCCGGTTCATTCGCTGTTCCTCACCTTTGAGAGACAAAAGGGGCTATTCACTTTCAAGATCAAGTTCAGAGCCTCCTCACCACCCTCTCACCCCTGGCCAATGTCTTGGGACAGCGAGGTGTTGGGTTGGAGATGTCACCAAGGAGAGCCGGTGGCACTGAGAAAGGACTCGAGCTAAGAGACGGGAGCGTTGGCTAGTGACGGGAAGAGGAGCAAAGCTTGGAGAAGGGGCAGAAGGTCCAGGATGAAAGCTGAGGACAGAGCCCTCCCACCCCCTCCCCTCTCCACCCCTTCTCTCCAAACCAGTAGGGCCATTGTCAAGGCTCCAGAAGGCTGTACTGGGCCTGCTAGCCCCGAGGGGATTCTGGGAATTTCTCCATTCAGCACTTCCTATGGGAACGCTCTGGAGGGCACTGGGAACTGGCCTCCAGTGCTCTGGGTCCCTGCTCCACCCTGGAGGCTGAGGAGGGTTCGCTGACAGTAGCTAAGGGGACGGGTTATTTTTAACTCCATTGACATGGGTTCTGGCCAAAAATGGGGCTAAAAACCCAGAGTGAGGCTGAAGGCTCCCAAAGATGCAGTCAGACCCCACCAGCCCCACCAAACCATTCGACTGCCCAAGGCTTTGCCTGGTTGCCTCTTCAGAGCCAGAGACCTCAGGTTTAGACAGACTAAGGGCGGGGTCTCAGAGTGCAGATGCTATCCTCAACCCAGTACTGTGGTAGTAGCCTGGGCCAGCGTGCCTGACTATGCTTTCCCTTGCAGATGAAAATGGGGCTGAGCTGGACCTGAACATGACCCAAGCACACTCTGGAGGCAAGCCAGAAAGCTCATCTCGAGGGAGGAGAAGCCTAGGTAAAACCAAGGGTCCAGATGGCGGCCCCTTGAAGGGTGGGACCCAGGGAAGAAAAACCAGGGCACACAGCCATCCTGGATAGGGAGTCACTTCCCAAATCCCTTCCTACTGTTAGGAATGAATGAGATGCATAGCTGTCTTTGAAGTTGAGTTACCGAGCCCTCTGCCCCAAGTTTTGATTTTAAAATATAGTGGTTTCGGTTTTTCTGTTTTTGAAACAGGATTGTACTACATAGCTGTAACCAGACTGGTCTCGAATCCACAGCGATCTGCCTACCTCTGTCTCTGCTTTTTTTTTTTTTTTTTGGTTTTTTGAGACAGGGTTTCTCTGTATTGTTTTGGAGGCTGTCCCGGAACTCACTTTGTAAACCAGGCTGGCCTTGAACTCACAGAGATCCGCCTGCCTCTGCCTCCCGAGTGCTGGGATTAAAGGCGTGCGCCACCAACGCCCGACTGCCTCTGCTTTTATACTTAGCTGCTTCCTCACTCTAACCCTGGAATAGATGTGGTTAGCTGCACTCCAAAGGCCTAGAAACCAGGATGGGGAAACTGGAATGGAAGGACTGATGTCAGAGGGCTAATCCGTCACACTTGAGCCCAAGGTGTTCTGGGTGGGTCCTCTGTCCACTGTGGCCCGGGTCAGAGGCACCAAACTAAGCTTAGGACTGCTGTTTGCTCCTTGGCAGAGACCAAGCCAATAGATCTGTAGGCCTTCGAGAACCCTTCCAGGCTGAAGCAGGTGACCTTCAGGTCTCCAAGCCCCAGCTCCATCGGTGGCCCTTTCTCTGTAGGTGACAGCCCTCGCTGAAGGCTTCACCCTTCTTCCTCTTACCTCAGTGAGAGGCACAGCCCTGCTGTTACCCATATCACAGGTAGATGAGGCTTTGAAAGAAAGAGCCTCATAAGGATAGACCAGTGCAGCCAGGCGGTGGTGGCGCATGCCTTTAACCAGTGCTCTGGAGGCAGAGGCAGAGGCAGGCGGATCTCTGTGAGTTTGATGCCTGAGCTCTGGGATAGTCAGAGCTATCCTGGATAGTTTTGTCTTGGGAAAAAAGAGAGAAAGAAAGGAGGGAGGGAGGAAGTGAGGGAGAAAGGAAGGAAGAAAAGAAAAGACCAGTCAGTGCAAGCCAGCGGGCTAACAGTGGGTGAGGACTCAGGGCCAGTCACACAGTTGTGTGAACTTCAAAAATTGGCATCCAGCACGACGGAACAGGTGTACATTAAAACATTTACAAGATCATATGGGATGATCTCGCCTGATCCTGACCATGCATGCTTCTTGGGGATAGATCTCATTGTTTTCACATGGGGTAAACTGAGGTTCAGGGTGGTCCGGCCACCTACCCAAGTTCAGGACTGCCTGGACGGGGGCGGTTCCAAAGAAGACAATCCTCTCCTGACAGGCCATCACCCCCCTCCCCCTAGGTTCCCTGGCAGCCGCAGAGCCCGCTGTAATCGCTGAGTGCAAGACTCGCACAGAGGTGTTCCAGATCTCGCGGAACCTCATCGATCGCACCAATGCCAACTTCCTGGTGTGGCCGCCATGCGTGGAGGTGCAGCGCTGCTCGGGCTGCTGCAACAACCGCAACGTGCAGTGCCGGGCCTCGCAGGTGCAGATGCGGCCGGTGCAGGTACGCAGACCCCGCCTCTCTCCTGCAGGCTGCGTCTAGGACGGCCGGCTCCAGCCGGAGCGGCAGATGAGCCGCTGCAGGCTGCAGGGCTTTTGCTGGGTGTTCCTAGGACACACTCCCCAAGGCATCTCAGTCCGTAGTCACCGGAAGTCAGACAGGATGCCACTGGGTGTGCTGTGCTAAGTAATGGGCCAATGGCACCTGCTCTACGGGGACACAGTCCCACAGTGCTCCTGTCTTCAAACATCTGCACTTAAAGACTGTTCACGACCACTGCCCAGGCCCCCTCAATGCTCCATCATACTCAGGGACCTCCACACTTTGGGACTTCATCTGTCTCTTTGGCAAACTTTGTCTGTAATGAAGGCGGCACAGAATGTCCTCCAGGTGGCAAGTACTGTAGGAACTCCGGGGACCCACGCTGGCAAATGGCCCAGCACAGGGCCACCTTGATTTTGGAAGGAATGGGACCCAGATGCTAGTCTTTGGAGGGGCCCAGAGGCTGTCTCTGAAGCACCTGCTCTCATGTGGACAGGGCAAGGCACAGGAAGGCTCAGGTGTCTTCTAACTCTGGAAGACCAGGTCTCTGTACCCCGGGTCAGCCTTCCCTTTTCAGATCCCTCTGGGCACACAACACAAAGCTTAAAAGTAGCCCTACCCGGTGCACTGGCGATATGGCCGTGCTCTCATTCTCTGCCCTCTGCCTGTGGCCAATGCCCAGTCTCCTCCCTGTCTTCCATTCCTGGCCTATCCCTGTGACCCAGATTACAAATGAATGACATGTTGTGCCTCCCCACCCACTGTCACAGTATCTCCTGTCCCCAGCTTTAGGGATAGACACCTGACAGCCGCCCCCCCCCCCACAGCCTCTCTTCTAGATAAGGCCTTCCTCCATTCCTTCCAGATAACCATCTCCCCCGCTCTGCTGCAGCCCCTGGCCTTGGCCAGTGCTCCGGGACTCCCGCTCTGCCCGGAAATGCCTTTCTCCCACTCTGGGGGGTCAGGGTGTGTATATATGTGTGGGGGGTTGCCATAGCAAAGCTGGAGGCCAGGTCAGCTAGGTCGAAGGGCTTGTTTTGATGGAAAAGCTCCCGAGAGGGGCAGAGGGCAAGGCCTTGCTATTGTTTGGTTCCGAGCGCTCACTGCAGACGAGCCTGGCTTTTGACTTTCGAGGAAAGAACCTAGCGCAGGAGACTGCCAGGCATGGGAGGCTCTCCTTGCATGGGTGGCCTCTATCAGGCATGGGAGGCTCTCATTGCATGGGTGGCCTCTACAGGGGGTGTTGCTCGCTCTGTCCTCCAGGTAAGGAAGATTGAGATTGTGCGGAAGAAGCCCGTCTTCAAGAAGGCCACCGTGACCCTGGAGGACCACCTGGCTTGCAAGTGTGAGACAATAGTGTCCCCTCGGCCTGTGACTCGAAGTCCTGCGACATCCAGGGAACAGAGAGGTAAGCCAGCTTCCTAGGGGCTGCTCTGTGGGGCTCAGCCCACAGCCTCTTTGCCTTATTACAGCTGGGGAAAGGGTGGATCCATAACTAGGGGCCAGGAGGCTGGGGAGAGTATTCTAAGCAAGCGTGAGGCCCTGAGTTTGAATCCCCGGTAGGGAATGGCAGCTGTGTCTGTCATCCCAGCACTGGGGAGGTGGAGATGAGTGGATCCCAGGGTACCCCCAGATGCCACTCTAGCTGTCGGTGACCTCTAGGTGAGAGACCCTCTCAGGAAATGAGGTGAAAAGCAGTTGAGGAGGACCCTTGACACCAACGTCTGACTTCACATGTATACCTGTGTGCAACGCGAGAGCCTGTGTGCGCATAAGCACATGTGGACACTCCTGCACACACACATATCCGAACTCACACAATGCATACAATCACATGCATGCGTGTGCGTGCACACATACACACAAACATTATTGATGGAGATCAGTTGGATACGTCTCTGCTTAAATTTACTGGAGATATTTGGTCTCACCAAGAACACTCTAGATTCTTCCCAGTGTAGATAGGTTGCAGCCCCTGCCCTTACCACCAACCAGTCCTCTTCTGTCATCTACTGGAGGTCTACAAGTAAAGGCTGAGAATCTCTATAGCTGGGATGTGACAGGCGGATCTGACATTCAAGCATCCGTCAGACGTAATGCCTTTGATGCCACAAGTGTCAGACAGTTAGATTTGAGTTGAAGAAGTCTCAGAGGCTCCTCCTGCTTTTGTAGTGGAGGCCCATGACATCAGGGGAGGTTGGAGCCTTGCTCCAGATCACACAGCCCAGCCGAGGCCAGTGCGTCCTGAAATTCCCTTCTTGACTCGTCCCTCATCCCAGAAGCTCTTCTGGCTGTCACTCACTCGCTCTACCATGTGTACTATAGAAGAATTTGTAAGCGTTAGTATTGGCATGTTCAGAATACTGAGGGACTCTTCCAGGTTCATCTCTGCTACAGCACAGGGCGGTGCTGGTTCTTTGGAATTTTTTTTTCTTTTGGCTTTTCAAGACAGGGTTTTTCTGTAGCTTTGGAACTATCCTAGAGCCAGCTCTGTGGACTAGGCTGGCCTCGAATTCAGAGATCTGCCTGTCTCTGCCTCCTGAGTGCTGGGATTAAAGACATGCAGGTCCTTGGAATTCTTAGGCTCCAACCTTTATCATGTGTGAGTTGCGTGAATTGGCCAGCCCAGCCTTCTGTGCATGGACTGGCCTTTGGTGTAGAAGCTCTCTGTGGGGCGTACCATGGCCCTCCTGGGTGTCATCCCTCCAGAGCATCTGGGCTTGTCCAGATCTCTGCACTGCAAGGAAAACTGCCTCTGCATCAAAGGGAGGCCGCCTCACTGGCTGGAGGCCAGGAGAGCTGCAGGGGCTCCCAGAAAGTGCTGACCCCTGCCGGGCATCCCAGAGACCAGGGGAGCAGAGGTTGACAGTCAGTCTGGCCCCAGGGCTCCCGGGAACTGCCATTTCAAGCAAGTGTTGGAGGTGGGAAGATACATGCCAGGGCCTCAAACACAGCTCTCTGCCTCAGTTTCCCCAACACTGTAGGATGAATAATACCCACTGTGGAAATTAAGGAGCTTATAGTGGAACCAGGTGCAGAGCAGGTGCTTGCTGGGGCTCTGGATCTTGATGCATTCTCAACCCTAGGAGGTCACGACTGCTTTAAAGGCACGGGCACATAGTGGCTAAGTGACTTGTCCCGTGGCACACAGTCCCTGGAAGAGTCCAGGTTTGGCTCAGGGCTGACCCCCAGACTAAGCTGTGGCCCAGTCCTCCACTCTGTTTCTCAGAGTGCCCAGGAATTTAAATGACAGGCCCAGTTCCAAGCAAAGTCTGATTCTGGCCGGCAGTTGTCTCCTCCTCATCTCGTGGCTGGAGGTCTCAGTAGGAGTGCTAGCCAGGGGGACGGGAAGCAAGAGGGTCACAGTGGTGACTGCCACTACTCATGCTGGACTGTGGCTGCCCCTGACCCTGCAGTTATGTTAGGAACTAGGCTCCTTGGGTAGCTTGTTGGTCTTTCGGCAGTCTAGCCGTGGCTGGAGGGCACAGCTACATCTGTGGCGCAAGAGACCCAGTCCCAAAACCTCGTCTCTAGCCAGATTTTTCATGCGGTGAGACGGGGAGACCAAAGTACAAAGGTGCGTTATGCCCAACCTCTGAAGACATGTGTCAGCAGGACCTCCTGTTGGGTTTGAAGGATCTAGGGCCAGGCCACCTGCAGGAAGTGGGAAAATAAGCCCGTCCATCTTTGGGCCGTGACAAGGACTTGGGGACCATATTGAAACGTAGCCTGGGTCAGGCTCTGCTTGGCTAGCTCACTGACATGAGTCCACTCCCCTTTCCCATGAGGTGGGCCACCCCCTTGCCTCACTCCCAGATAGAGAAACTGAGGCAAACAAAGGTTCAGTCACGCCCCCAGAGCACACAGCTGGTGAGCAGTGGGGAGTTGGCTACGACCTCATGAAGTCTGACCTTGATCTTCCCCTGGTCCTCTTCCTGAGTCAGCCCTAAGGCTCACAGCCGGCATTGGGGTGCAAGAATACCCCATAACCATCATGTGCTGACCAACACTTCTTCTTCTTGAGCAGCCAAGACGCCTCAAACTCGGGTGACCGTTCGGACGGTGCGAATCCGCCGGCCCCTCAAAGGGAAGCATCGGAAATTTAAGCACACACATGAGAAGGAGGTCCTGAAGGAGACCCTGGGGGCCTAGGGGCATCGGCAAGCGTGTGGGCAGGTGAGGACTTGTCAGGAAAGCCAAGGCTCGGATACTCCCTGGCTGTGGCTTAGATTCGGGGTGAGGGCCAGCAGGGACATTTGCTCTCTTCAACCCATCATCCCCGAGATTTTCTTCTGCCTAACTGCCCCTCTGCCTCTCCAAGTGGGTGTCTGTCCTGCCACTCGAATCCTCCACCGTCCCAACCCTGGGGCCTGCTGGAGACACGATGGCATCGACACCAGTTCCTTGTCTTGGTTTGGGGGTGGGGTGGGCTAGCAGCCAAGGGCGTCCGTGAGCCATCTCTGACCCTATGTCCCTCTGCTCTGCCCGCAGGGTTATTTAATATGGTATTTGCTGTATCGCCCCCATGGGGTCCTTGGAGTGATAATGTCGTTCCCCTCGTCCGTCTGTCTCGATGCCTGATTCGGACGGCCAATGGTGCTTCCCTCACCCTGCGTGCCCGGCCACCTCCACCAGCAGCCAGCACTGCTTCGCCTGCCCTGCAGCCCCAGAAGCAAACAAAGGACTCTACTCCATGCTGCTTCTTCCGTTGACCCCCAGAGCCTGGGACAAGTGTGCAGGAGCCTCACGGGGGACTGTGGACTGGCCCTAGGAACGTGGGACTTGGCCAGAGGACCTCTGCGTGTCCCGCATGGTTCCTGGACCCCCGGCCAGCCAGCAGGGAACACTTTCGGGCAGGCTAGGGTCCCTTGTAGTCCCACGGCCAGGACCACATGGGGAGCACAGACTAGAGGAACCCTCATGGCACCATAGCTGCCACTCATCTCTCCCTGTCCCCCCAGCCCATGGTGGCTTTTCATTTTATAAGTATGAAATCATGGAAGACATGAACTCCTCTGGGCAGGCGGCCACACGCCTCTGATGGATGAGAGGTGCGGTGTGCTTGTGGCCTGGGCCATGTCTCCTGCCTCTTCCCTCTTCCGCTACGTTCACTTCTGTTCCATTTCTCTACCTCCACTCCGTGTCTTCTTCCTCAGTCTGCTCCACCGTGGGGTGCTTGGGTCCCTATCGAGGCTCTGAATGACCCTGTCATTCTTCCTTAGGACAGGAGACCTGTCTATTATATTCCACTCCAGCCAAGACTGCCCAGGAAGGTTGTGTGGGATGTGTGTTGCACATGCTCACACCCTGAATGTGGCCAATTTGTCTATTTATTGTGACTTTCTGGCAGATGTAGGTCAAGCCTCTGAGGAAAGGAAACCTTGTTTCAATTCACTCCGAGGCCCTATGTGGACTGGCTGTGTGTGCGTCCTGACCCAGCCTGAAGCTCGCACTGAGCCTGTGGTGCTGGGGTAGCAACGTGGTTTTGTTGCCTCCACTTCCCCAGCCTCAGCTTCAGCTGTTCCCTTCCAGGCAGGTGTGGGACACTAGGACATCTTCCAGGGAGGGGCAGCCTGGCTGGGCTCTCTCCTGCTTGCACACTGCCCCTCAGACCGTTTGTGGTTTTACCTGATAGCTTCTTCCAGGAAGCTAGCCGGTAGACTGGAAGTGGGAGAGAGAGGGAGAGCTCTGGAGCCCTCAGGAGGACTGGGGTAGATGCACCCCCTTCCCCCCTCCCCCTGCACTTTCCCCTCCCCCTCCCAGGTCCGCTTCCTTCAGTTTGTAAAGTTGGTGATTATATTTTTGGGGGCTTTCTTTTTATTTTTTAAATGTAAAGTTTATTTATATTCCGTATTTAAAGTTGTAAAAAAAAAAGCCACAAAACAAAACCAAGCGAATCCTCGGGAAGTCTGTCTGTTGGCATCGGGTGTGATAATTAACCTTTCCATGTTGGCAGGATGTGCCAACAGCTTGCTACGTGTTCTTCTCACTCCGGGAGGCTAGGCACCGTAGGGCATCCTCATGTGCACACACAGACACACACTTTCACGTGCTCATGCGTTTCTGGGCCTGGCTCCAGGGGCAAGCCCCTGTATCAGGGAGAGGGAGAGTTGGTCCTGGCCCCATAGCAGGTCCTGACACCTGGTTCCCTGCGCCTGCTTCTGTAGAGAGATTGATTTCTGTTGAGCAGGGGTCTCCAGGGGAATGTAGAACCCCAGCATTGTAGGTGGCATGTGGGGGGACTGGAGGAGACCCTGGAGGGGCTGTGGGATTCATTAAAAAAGGGCCAAGCACTGGCCTGGGCTCAGCCCTAAATCTGCTGTGTGACCTTAGGCCAGTCACAGCTCAGTCTGACCTGTGATGAGAAGGGAAGGGACTGCTGGCAGCCAGAGTTCAGCCCTGGGGTCCTGTGCCTTTTCTTCAACCCATTCTTTTTGTGCTGGAGAGGCAAAGCAGGCTCCTGCTGAGCAACACTTCAGCCTTACTGTCCTCTCCCCATGGAGCCTTGGATCCCAGCTTATACAGAAGTATTCTGGGTCCTACTTACAGTGTAGAGTTGACAAGGAGCCCAGGAGAGGGGAGTCTGCCTCACTGAAGGGATGACAGGAACCTAAAACCGTGTTGCCCTGAACTGCTCGGCTCCATGTCCCTTGATATATGCAAGGGCAGCTGAGGCCATCTTGGCTGAGGTAGAGGTTCCCATAGCTGTGACTCAATTTGTACGCTCACCCTTTGAGCCCAACTATGAGTGTCTGTCCCTGCCAGTGCTGCCAACCCCCAACCTGTGCTAGAGAAGAGGGGTCTAGCCCATGGCAGTGAGTGGAGCTGAGGGAGACTGTCTGGAATCTTCCATCCAGCCTGACATTCTTAGGTAGAGCCTCCCTCTCCCTGGACCCCCAGACACCAGAGCCAGTGCTGGCATTGGGGACAGTGTATGTATGGGGGGGAGAAATGGAAGGAGACTCACCAGCATATAGAAATTGAGACAGCTGCCAGCAGGGATAATAGCAGGAACCTTCCAAAACAGCTGCCTGGATCTGTCCTTGCCAGGTAGCCACTGAATCTGTGGACTTTCAGGGGCCTGCTGGGAACGCATTCTCTCTTTTGGGGGGGAGAGGGTGGGGCAGGGTTGAGACAGGATCTCATTATATAACCCTGACTTGTCTAGAACCCAACTATGTAGACCTGGCTGGCCCTGAACTTGTAGATATCTGCTTGTCTCTGCCTCCTGAGTGCTGGCTCAGCATTCTCTTCATTATCTCCCTTGTCTCCATGGTAACCCCCCAAGGAAAAGCCACATGACTTGTTTTATTCACTGCTCCTTAGCATCTCACAGGCATCTGATGCATATGTCGCAGTCACCCAGAAAAGACTGCTGGGAAGGTCATTATCTGTTACTGGAAGGATGGAGTGTGTCGGCCCCAAAGCGGGGGGCACACCCACCGTGGTGTGGTTGGAAAATTTAGACTCAGGGTGTCACTGTTGACAAAAGGTTTCAGTTTCTCACTAGCTCTTTGCTTGGCCCAGCATCTTCCTTGTTGGGGAGAGCTGTGGATGCTGAGATCATGTCCAGTACCTTCCATATGTGTCCAGGGTCATCTCTCTCCAAGACTGCACGTCAGCCTCTCAAACATTCCCTCATCAACACATCCATCCATCTATCCATCCATCCGCCCGTCCATCATTCATTCATACATATATCCATCTGTCCATCTGTGTGTCTGTCCATTCGTCCAACTGCTCATCTATCACCTACACATCCACCAACTCATCCATCCACCCATTCCTCATCCATTCATCTTTGTACCCATTCATCCATCAGACTATTTACATACTCATATATTGTTCATCCACGCACATCCATTCATCATTCATCTGTCCACCCATATATTCACCCACTCATGCACATATCCACAAGTCCATCCATCATCCATCCATCCTATCCCTCATTCCTGGTCCACGTGCCCCACTTCTTCCTCTGCGGTGTGCCACCCATACCATGTTCCACTCTCTGTCTCTGTCACCTCATTCTATCAATCTCCAAGGAGCTTGAAACCCACAGTGGAGAGGACACAGCTTAGTGACGGACACCAGGTCTCTATGGCAGCCTTGTTTCCTCCCTTTGCACAGTCTTGCAGAACTGCTGCGAACAGGTTAGAGACCCAAGGGCAAAGGCATGCTGAGCATGTTTGGCCTGGTAAGTGATAGATTGTTCTCTCTTCTCAGCATCCAGTCAACGGCTAACAGCAGTACGGCGAGGTGAAGCTAGGACTTGATAATGAGCAAAGGAGTTCAGATTCACCGCTGCAATACCTGTGTCTGTTCCTGGTGCTGCCCTATTGTTCTCAGTTTACCTGGTGCCTGACTCAGGCCAGGTGTCAATAAGTTCCGGCCACTACCCACAGTCCCATAGGGCACAACAGGTCCTCCTACAAATGTCAACAGTCCCCTTGAGGAACATTTGTGGGCCAGACCACTTCTTCCCCATAGGAAGTTCTGAGTTTGAGATGTGGGGCTGGGGGAGGCCGTATGTCCCTTGCCAGGTGGGGCCCCAGTCAGACTTCTGAGCAACAAACTTAAGCCCTTGTATAAGATGTGTCCTTGTGGACTGCCGGGCACCATGTGTCTACCCTGGTAAGAGCAAACCATACTTCTACTCAGCTGCTCTCCACCAAGTCACCAGTGGAGACAATGTCCTGAATTCAGAGGCACTGATAAATACAGTTGCATTCATAAGTCTCATTGGATGTGCACACTTGCAGCTCACTCTGTGGCCTCTGGGGCTTTGCTGATAACGAAAAAGAAACAATTCACAGCGTTCAGCTTTATATAAATGATCATAGTCTAGAGACCTCACAGGTCATATTCCCAGGGGTCCTGGTAATGTCAGGTCCAACCTCAGCAGTGAGATATCGCAACTCCATCCACCTACCCATCATCTACCCAGCTACCCATTCATCCATCCATCTGTCCATCCATCATCCTCACATTCAACCTCCTCCATTAATCAACCCATTATCCATTTGTCTATCCATCATGTACCCACCAACTTACCCCCCACCTATCATTCACCCACTGTCCACCTATCACTACCCATGTACCCATCCTCCATCTGTCTAGTCATCTGTCTATTCATCCATCCAGCTATAATCCCCCATCTACCCATCACTCACCCACTTATCCATCTATCATTTACCTACCCATCACCTACATGATCATCCGTCTAGCATCCTTCACATAACTCTTATCCACTTATCCATTCATTCAACATCTATCCATCCACTCATCATCTTTCCACCCATTTACCCATCCAATATCTGTCTGTCTGTCTGTCTGTCTATCCACTATCAGCCATTCACCCATCCATCCACCCATCCCTTCCTTCATTAGCTGTGAAGGATCTCCATGAAGACTGGGCTTAGAATATACCAAGATGCTCCTGAGGGTTTGTGATCCCCTGCTAATTTTTTAATCCACTATTCTACAGGTCAGGTTTAGGTTTCACTTTTGGCTCTTGGTCCTGAGGTTGCAAGAATTCAGCTGAACTTCCAGGGAAGCAGTAGAAGTCCTCAGGGTTTGTTCTCAGTTGTTTGTTTTGTTCTGCTTGTGTGGTGTTGAGGATGAAAGCCATGCCAGATAAGCCACAGAGTCACACTCCATCCAGGCTGAGCCTCAGTTCTTGGTCTGGGTTATGAGTCAAGAATTTAGGAGTTAGGCCAGGCATTGTTGGCACAGGCCCTTAATCCCAGCACATGGTAGACAAAGGCAGTTGGATCTCTGTGAGTTCAAGGTCAGCTTGGTCCTCAAAGAGAGTTCCAGGACAGACTCCGAAACAATACAGAGAAACCCTGTGGGGGGGGGGAGAATTCAGGAGTTGCCCAGGGGTGATGGTGCACACCTTCAATCCCAGCACTCGGGAGACAGAGGTAGGCAGGTCTCTGTGAGTTTGAGGTCAGCCTGGTCTACAGAGAGAATTCCATGACAGCCAGGGCTACAGAGAAACCCTGTCTCAAAAAGCAAGAACTACAACAAAAAGACAAAACAAAACAAAAATTCAGGCGTTTAGGATAGTGTCCCCTGGTCATCCCACTACCACAAGGGAATTCCTCCTTCCTTCCCTTCTGAGGACCAGAGTCACATCTTCAATGGACCCTTCAGTCCAGGTGACTCCAAATGGCAGAGCTGGCACGCTGTCTCTGGCTGCACATCAGGTATCCTGGCTCCAGCTGCATACCAAGGCGTCTACAGCTGTCTTAACTATGTGTCCATTCTTACTAACTAATCCCAATCAATCCCCGGAACCAATTCCAGTTTCCCTAAGTCTCTTCCGATAGGCACTGCCTGCAGCCAGTCCAGGCTCTGGTTTCTAAGTAAAGCAATGGTCTTCAACACCAGCAAGAGAAAGCACCGGTTAACCTGAGGACAAAGGGTTGCTTAAAGCCTGAACATGAAAAGAATGTTGGGTGCTTGACAAGTGGCTAGCAGGCTGGAGAGCTGCACTCTGGACATTGGTGGCATTGCCCTGTGCCTAGCTCCTCCTACTCCCAGGACCCGGCACAGAGCTGCTACCTCAGGCCTAGCCAAGAAGGTTCTGTGGCCCTCATTTTGCTTCCAGTCCTGTCTTGGTGCACCTGGTCAGGGAGTGTCCGAGTACCCATCCCTCTGGTCTACTGCCTTGATGTGGCCAGAAACTGGAAGGAGGGGGAGTGAAATTTTCTCTTGGAGCCCTGGTCTTGCTGCAGTTGCAAGCGTGCGCGCACACACAGGAAATATTTCCCTGAGGGCCCAGGTCAAGGATGAGGTGACCACAGCACTGAGCTTGGGTCATCCCGATGACTCAGCCCGTGCAGAATTCTAGAAAATCAAAATTAACAAGCCTTTAATACCGACAG